GCACCCCCCTGCCCCAGCTCGCCCTCGCTCAGCGGGGGGGGGGTGGGGGTGAAATGTGCTGAAAATTCACATCGCAGTACAAATGTGGTCGCATTCCTTGAGTGCACCCCAGACACGGCACCGACCACCGCACGGGGTCTACGTCCCCCCCAAGAGCAGAGCTGTGGGGTTGGGCTCTGAGCAGGCAGCCAGCCCCCAGCCCGCAGGTACGGGCCACAGCAAGGCCCCCCCACAGTCAGAGTGAAAACAAATGTTTAAAAACGGGGTCTTTTTCATTCAATGGCAAACACAGGTATTGTGCGTATCAAACCAGCAGAGCCCGGAGGAGCAGGGCTCAGGCCCCTCTGCGTGCCTCCTCTCCTGCTGCAGCCCCAGCTATCGCAGGATGGCCGTTTTCTCTGCAAAACTCACGACTGACACTGACCGGCGAGAAAGATTCAGAAAGACAGAAGTAGTTTAAGCCCAAACATCTCCACACTTTGGGAAAGACCAGTCCCCACCAGTGTGGCAAAGTCCATCGCTACTGGGGGTGCCTGCGGAGGAATATCGTATGTACTCATGTAGTAATGAAAAAGAATTCAAACCACAGAAAACGAACTGGTTTTAAGAGCCACGGTGTTCTGGCTCCTAGATTAAAATGTTTGCCATCTTCATGTTTCACTTGTGCCAACTTCTTTTTCCATGCCTACACCCTCTCACGCCCAAGTCTTGGGGCTTTTCTATCACCAAAGGCTAAGGCAGTCTGCTCAGAGGAAAAATGCCACCTCCAGCCGGCAAGGAAAGCCCCCAAGGGCAAAACTGCATCCAGAGCTACTGGGTTACCTCCCCTGGGGTGGGAGTAAAGGCTTCACCGTGTCCTGCCAGCAGACAGGGGCCACCGAGAGAAAACAAATTGTAAGTGGAGGGTGTGTGTCTCTGTGTCTTCAGCCCTCGGGTCTCAGCAAACGGACTGGGAAAGCACTTCAACCAAAAGTCACGTGAATTCCAGCAACTGCTTTTGCCTTAAAAAATCACTTACATCCCAAAGACAGCCATTTATTTCTGCATAGGCGCTGTCAGACAGAGCAGAACACACGAGCAGATAGGGAGGAGAATCTCAGTCTCTATTATAGAATTAGAGCACAAATGCAACGCAGCTTTCCTGAGGCAGCATAAAACTTCAACATCTGTCGGCAGCAGCTCAGGTTCACTGCTTCAGAACATGGAGTTTCCCATTTCAGGAGCGACTGCTGGTTAAAAACCCAGGTGAGCATCCCTTTCCCGGCCCACGCCTCTCACCTTCCCCGATTTCAGGCCCCCATGGACCCAGGATGTCCCTCCTCTTTAACGTCACGACAAGGGCATGCAACCATCAAGCGCACAAGTTCTGCTGGAAATCCAGGTCTCACAGATAAAAGGACAACACCACGGAGTTTAAATGGGCCTTCCAAAACATGGTGCTATTTACTGTGTGGGTGCCGCTCGGTGTGGGTAACAGCACCCCACTTTCCCAGTTGGACCCAGATGCTGCTCTGCCATATGCAACCTCTGAGAACCTTGAAGTCAAACAAGAACCTGTCTCTAAGTTATTTCCAAGATCCATTTGCTTTTGTTGGGTTTTATAAAACCCCTTCATCATCATCATATTTCTACCAAGCAGTGTTTCTAACTTGCTTCCCCCCGCTAACGTGAGCCTCAGCTACGCTGCTAAGTGATTAGAACATGCTGTATATTTTTTTCCCTTGAATAATCCATTGATTTTTAACTAGCAAACACAATGTATTTAATTCAAACTCGTTCCCCTCCTAGCTGCTCTAATTCCCACGGGCTCTCAAAGGGGAGACCGTGTTTATTTATAAGATATCTATGGAGCTGCTTAGGAAAAGTATTTTCTTTAATTCACATGTATTCAATCTCTTCCCCTTTCTGCTATATCCTCATATATATCCCAGGGCAAAACCAGTGCATGTGGTAGCAGTTTCCCAAACGACAACGCTTAACATATAAAAGCCAAGAACTACTTGGAAAGTAGCAAAAAGTCTTTTCTTTACATTGGGATTATATCTAAAACAGAGCTGCTCAATTCCGTGGGGGACAGTCTGTTTCCCTTGATGCAGGAAACAGAAAGTCTATGTTCATTAACATCACCTCCAAAAATCTGACTAACCAGAGCCCACCTATTCCAGCTCTCGGTATCCAGAGGAAAAAAAGCACACATTACTTTTCCATCTCCTGCATGAAACATTATGGCAACTGCAGAGAATATTTCTGGTGCTGATACTTGGAAACTAATCTCCCCTACTCGGAAGACCACTGCGGAATGTCTCTGTATATGGTAAATGCTAGTGTCGGTCACCCCCGCACTGGTTTCTCCCTTCCATTTGGATTAGGGGTCCGTGCCCACCGGAGGGAGGCGGCACGGTCAGGAGGCCCCGCAGGGCGTCCCTGCTCCACCGCCCGCCACTGACGTATGGTGACGCCGTGCTTCACCAAACTTCTCCCTTTTATATTCTACTTTGGATCAGAGCCTGCATGTTGCACTCCCAAGCGTAGCCTGGAGAAGGCCTGCACGCCCTCCACGCATGGCTGCACCTTCCCTTACCAACCTGCCGAAACACAGCTCTCATCTAGACGGATGCAGTCACCCATGCGTGCCCCCACCTCTTGCCCTGCGGATGTTCAGGCTGGAGAGGTGGGCCTGTGTGAACCTCATGAGGTTCAACAAGGCCAAGTGCAAGGTCCTGCACCTGGGATGGGGTAACCCCCAGTATCAATACAGCCTGGGGGGAGAAAGGATTGAGAGCAGCCCTGCCGAGAGGGACTTGGGGGTGCTGGTGGATAAAAAGCTGGACATGAGCCGGCAATGTGCCCTGGCAGCCCAGAAGGCCAACCGTACTCTGGGCTGCATCAGGAGGAGCGTGGCCAGCAGGTCGAGGGAGGTAATTCTGCCCCTCTACTCAGCTCTGGTGAGACCTCACCTAGAGTACTGCGTCCAGCTCTGGAGCCCTCAGCACAAGAAGGACATGGAAGTGTTGGAGCGGGTCCAGAAGAGGGCTACTAAAATGATCCGAGGGCTGGAGCACCTCTCCTATGAGGACAGGCTGAGAGAGTTGGGCTTGTTCAGTCTAGAGAAAAGAAGGCTGCGGGGAGACCTGATTGCGGCCTTTCAGTACCTAAAGGGGGCCTATAGGAAAGAGGGGGAAAACCTTTTTAGTAGGGCCAGCTGCGTTAGGACAAGGGGTAATGGTTTTAAACTAAATCGGGGTAGGTTTAGGCTAGATATAAGGAAAAAATTCTTTACAATGAGGGTGGTAAACCACTGGAACAGGTTGCCCAGAGAGGTAGTGGAGGCCCCATCCCTGGAAACATTCAAGGCCAGGTTGGATGGGGCTCTGAGCAACCTGATCTAGTTGGCGGTGTCCCTGCTGACTGCAGGGGGGTTGGACTCGATGACCTCTAGTGGTCCCTTCCAACCCAAAACATTCTATGATCCTATGATTCTATGTGTGGCCACTTCCACTGCCGGGGCCAAAACACCCGTCACCCCGGGCTGGCGGCTTGGACACCACGGGCGCAGGCAGGGCGATGAGCGGGACGGGGAGCGGGACCCGCTGACCCCGGCTGGAGGTGGCGATGTGGACATCTCTGCCGGAGTGATCTTCCACGCTCTACGCCGGGGCAGAGGAGGGGAATCCCACCTATCCACCACTCCTATTTTACATGTCTCCCTTAGGATGAAATAAATCAGGATCTCAAAGAGCTGGTTTTCACACTGATCCTAAAGAGGGCCGGATGATCAGCTCTTTTCAGCATGGGTACGAAATGCAAGGCAAGATACACCTCGGATTTAATGCCTGTGTTTCAAGTATTTCTGCTTTCTTCTTTCATGGGATTTCTAGTGGTGGAAATAGGACAGTCATTAAAAGTATGATGGAAAGGAAACCCAGGAACTGAAAGTCCAAATCATTCCCTGGGTCACAGGAGGAAAACCAGTAATTTGCAAAACCCAGTGCTAAAATAAACACTAGCCAAGTGTCCTTCTCTGCAGCTTTATTCGTATTGCTGTTAATACTGGCTCTGTAGCACCTCACATGTACGTTACATGGGATGAGAGATGCTGTTACAGAAAAAGCTTTCATTTTGAAGAGGAGGGGAAGCCTCCTGCCTACCTACAGCCCGGGCTAAGGGGAGCACGCTCAGCTCTGCTTCCTGCAGCGCCTCCCTGGCAGGCAGGGTGGGTGCCTGCCAGCAACAGGCAATGCCACGCTCATTAGAAGGAAGCTAATTTGATGGTGTGTTGCAAGCACCCCTGGTATGTCCCCTCGCCCTCTCACCGTTCTCTGTCCTTGTTCTGCAGCAAACCCTGCTCTGGGTTCAGCTCCGGGGAAGCCCAGTGCCGGGCACGGAGCAAGCACAGCTCCTACGGCACTGGGCACAGCTCTCGCCATCCCGCTATCCCGGCATGCCGGGAGCTGCAGCCTGAACATCGCGTTGAAAACTGAGCCCAGCTCATCCCACTCCCACGAGGCGCCCAGCACTGCCCCATGCCCTCCCTCTGGGTCAGCACGGGGTCCCTGCCGTGAAGGAGAGCTCCGAGTCGTGTTCGGCTTTACAGGCGTACAAAGCTCGGGCTTTCCGCAGCGGTGAGCTGCAAAAAGAAAGCATGTATTGGTATAAAAAATACTTTCCTCGCACACAACAGCACGCCCCTCCTCACAGCATCAAAGAGGGGTCCACGCAAGTGGTGTATGTTGAAGAGGGGTCCAAGGACCTCTACCCCTCTACAAGGGTCCGGGGTTATGCTGCTTGGGGGAAGAGCGAGGAAGACATTAGAGGAGGCTAAAGGCTCTCAGGGATGAATCCCCAATTTTCACCGCAGTGGAAATGTTTTCTGAGTCCCTGGAGGGCCATAACTGAACGGAGGACCGGTGCGGAGTGGAGGCGCGCAGCCGGTGCTGGCAGCAACCCGCTGCTCACCGGCCCCGCTCGTTGCCAAACCCATCGCTCTCCGAGCGCAGCTGCAACCAACAAGGAGAATTAGCACTTGGGGAAGGGTAGTTCAAAACAGAAAAACAAGCAGGTCCGTGAAGAATTTGCTGCACTTCTTCAGAGGCTGTACCTGAAGATAAAAAAGATTTAACCACCATTAGATTTTACTGGGGAAGTGTCAGTGTGCCCACGCTGCAGGGGAGCGAATTAGAGCAGGAGAGAGCCAGAAATGGAGCAAATCGCCGGCAGACGCAGGGAGAAAATGAAGGACCTCAGGACCCCACCAGCAAAGCGCAGGCACGCGGAGCTGTCCCCTGCGCCCGGAGCCTCCCACCCATCCTGTCCGGCTTCGGGCTCCAGGAAGGCTGGTGGGAAGCTGGGACATGGTGACAGTGGTGGTGCAAACCTGCCACCCAACCAGCCGGGTGCATCCTGCACCACAGCAGGCTGCTCGGCTACAGTACGGCCAAGCAAAGTGGTGGAAGTGCCCCCAGGAGCTGCCGGGGTAAGGAACAAGGCGGCATCACCACTTCTCAGTTGTGGTTTCACCAACTTTTATCTTTCTGAGGACTTAAACTTAGTCTGAATTGTCTCCGAGCGAGCCCAGGGGAGCGGCACACTCTCGCCTCGTGGCGAAAGCGGTTCACCTTCACACAGAAACCACAAACCAGGGAAGCTGCGAACGGTTTTGGTTTTGCTGTGAAGAGAGCCCTGAAGCAGAGGTCTCTCCTCTCTGAATTCCAGCTGCCTGACACGAGCAGCCGCCAAACACTTAAAAAAAAGGATGGGCAAACACTCCTCCTGCTCCAGAGAGGGTCCTTCGCTGCCGGGAAGGCACCGCTCACGCACAGTGCCTGGGGAGGCTGTCAGATGAAAAACAAGGGTTATTTTCAGGCTTACTACCTTGAATTCTTCCAGTTGTTGTTGTTTTTTTCCCCCAAAATGACCTCTGCAGCCCAGCAGCCCTAGCCTGCTTCTTCGCCCGCCGGCTGCTCTCCAGGCTGCGGCCGTGCCCTTCCAAGCCCTGGGGGGCTTTCAGGGGCTGAATTGCTGCACCCCAGCCATCGCTCACGTTAGGCTTCTGCCTCCGAGCATGGCACAAGGCCAGCAAAGCACTCAGGAGTCTCACCCGTCTGCCCTTGTGCGGTTTCGGGAATGATGAGCCCCTCTCCCCCAGAGGAGGAAGGCTGCTCAGCTGGTATTACACTGTTGTCAGCCTTTGCAGACGCGTAGCAAAACAAATAAATAACGCTGCCAAGCAGGCAGCCGTGGTACAGGCAGCATTTGTATGGCCGTAGGTGCGGGGGAAGCGTTCGGTCTGTGCCTGTCACGAACAAACAGGTTTGACGTGTCTCCCTCGGAGGAGGGATTGCTGCCCCGGCCCCGCGTGCCTGTGCCTGCCAAGGGGCTGGGAGCCGCGCTCTGCCGGGGACGACAACGGCCTCTTGCCAGGGGTGGGCTCGGAGGAGAGAAATCCTGCCCAAGGGCAACCCTGCCCGCAGACCAGCGGCGATGCCGCTCTGGCTCACCCCACGTGAGCATCCCCCAGGACCTGCAGCGCAGGTCCCGAACGCTGCTCACAGCGTGCTCACAGCGTTTGGCATCGCTGGTGCGTAGCTTTCAGCACCGATTTACCCAGCGATGCCCAAGCGCCTGAGACACAGGCACACAGCAGGCAAATGTCTGTGCCCCACCATGTCCTTTACCTGCCTTAGGTTCCAGATAAGAAAAGGGAAGCGGCCAGAAAATGAGGAATCGCAGCGTTTTCCAAAGGCTTGTTATCCCTCCCAGCCCCCGTCAAGGCAGTACACGTCTTACCTGCGGCAGAGGGGAGTAAAGCAAACTGCAGGCAGCTGAAATGGCTGGGCAAAACCACAGAAACCACCAGCGACATCGAGCATGGCGAGTGTGACCACCACAGGGGCCAGCGGGCGCCTGCCAGGAGGCTCAGGGGGGGATTCAAAGGGTCTCCCGGGGGCGGGAGGCGTTTGAAAGCTCCTCTCTTGCCGAGTGCAGATAGCTGCATTGCGGGGGTTGGAGCAGGATGCAAAGGGAAAAGTGAAGTGGGGGAAACCGAGTAAATCAAACAGAAAATAGCAAAAGCAATGAAAAGCAAAGCGAATTCTGCAACAGACCTGATGGGGGATGAGTCGCTGGACGTAGAGGAGGTGGGCATAGGACTTGATGGCGCGGAGAACATGGGCCAGGACGGTGAGAGGGGTGACGTTGGGCTTGGATTCTGAGGGCTGCAAGACATAACCAGATACCTTATCAACATGCAACCACAGAAACAAACAGCAACCAAGAGACAGTCAGACGACATCCGATGATAGCGGGTGCCTTGGGAATATTCAGAGCATGAGACACAGCTACAAAATGAAGTGCCAAGACCTTGGGAAACATTTCAAGGCCAGATCTGCATTTCTCTGGACAAGAGCTGGATCTTCCAATTAACCCCTGCTCCATCATCCCATCCAGTGAGCCCAAAACCCCGTATGCGGAGGGCCATCTCGCTGCTCACCACCAGCAGCCCAGCCACTTACCTGCCTTGTTTTATTTTCCCCACTGCTGCCAGAAATAGCTGATGGTATTTCTGGATGTTAATGATGCCTGCAAGGAGCCCCCTTTTGTGTGTCAGTTGGTGCAGCGTCAGAGTCTGGGCCCCGATCCATGGTGCCCGGCCACAACCGCGTGTTTACATTTCTAACCAAACGGGTCTCAGAGGCCGTGAACCCAGAGGAGTTCATTATCTACAGGATGGAGCCAGCCAGGGCTGGTGTTTCCATGCTATCATCCCTCTGAAGACAACTAGCAGGAGAAAATCCCCAGCCCACACCCCCCCCCAAGGGCCAGCAGCATCAGAGGGCAAATGGCTCGCATCGAGGTAGCCAGTGCTCCAGGGCTCCTGCCGTGCTTACACCATCAGCACCACAAAAATCTCATGGATTTATTTTCCATGTTTTTACATTGAAGAACTCCTCTTTGCCTCGTGCAAAGTGCTCTTGATTCCTCACTTCCAAGCCACTGCTGGCCCCTGAAGTTGAGTCAAGTTACTGAACTTGTAAATGCGTGCAGAAGTCACGCGAGAAGTGCTTGGTTCCTTCAAAACTCTTTGACTTAGGTCATCCTCAGGTTCACCAAAAAGCAATTATTGTACTAAATACCAATTTCAGTCTGATTCATCTTCTACTGTTTCTATGCCTATCAACTCATCTGTATTCTCTAATTCAGATTGTAAACCCCGTCCCTGATAAAACACCAGAAAAACCTGAAAATGCCTCTGCAAAAACAAGAAGTTTTGTAAAAGCATCGCGATTGATGGTTTTTTTCCTGAGAGAGGGATGGTACCTCTGGTCACACAGGTCTGTGATGAGGTGGGGATAGGGTGCGACCCCACAGCCAACCCCCAGGCCATCCCCATCCCTGTCCCCATCCTCATCCCCATCCCTGAGGTGGGGGCTCACGAGGGACGGGAAGGGATAGAGGGAGGGGGGTGCTCCAGAGCATGCAGTAACAGCGTTTTATGGGTCCCACCAGACCAAATGGATGTTCCATTTCAAGCCGAATATAAAACCTCAACCTCTATGATTTGAAAGAAAAAGAACCTCCCCCAATATCCAAGAGGGTCTCCAGAAAGTATTTATGATTAATCCTGAATTTTGTGTTTTCTTGTAATTTATCTGCCACTCAGTTTGAGTTACAATTTAGCTCCTTAAAACTACAACATCACTCCTGGTGCACCAGCTTCCCTCCAGGTCATGCATCTGTGCAACCAAAACCCTGAAGCCTTCCTCGCCCGCACCAGGTTCATCTCTGGGTACCTGGGTCTTCCACCAGCGCCAGCGCTTGCCAAGAGGCCAGTGACTCTCGCCGGCGGCTCCTGTGTGCCCTTCCATGTGCCCATGAGCGAAGCTGGCAGCTGGTGCTCCCTGGCATTCTCTGATGGTGACAACTCAAAATTGAAAGGATAGGTCTGTGGATTTGGTCCAATTTCTAGGGGGAAAGCGTCCATGCCATAAATATCACCACCGCAATGGCACCTAGAGGACACTAAAGAAGGTTAAATTGTTGGCCTGAACCACTCTGAGGTCTGTATCTGCTTAAGGCCAAACTCTTGGCTTCTTTACTCCTCACAGAAGCCGTGTCACTGAATTCAACAGAAACTAAGGACTTCCCCTTGTAATTACGGGCAATACCTTTATTACACCAGAGGATTACATGCATATAGAAATGGGATACAGCAGAGCATCACGACTTTCACAAGAGGGCTGTAAAACAGGGAAAGTTCATATGCAGGCTATTAACAGAAATCCTCCAAATGTTCTCCTAATAATTGTCACTAATGAGAAACAATCTTTTTGCATTTTTCTATCATCAAAATTGTCAGTCTTTCAAAAAATGAGTAATTACCTGTATCAGTCTTTAAGAAATCTGTTAGGCATTGGTACTTACCATATATTAAATCTATTTCCAACTTTAAACAGAAGGAGGTGCTACAAAGACCACCAAGTTAGCCCAAACTGCAGAAATTAACCCTTCAAGCACCAGTTCTTGCTTCTTTTCTTTCTAGCAGGTGTAGTCTGGCCACGCGTGATGATGTCCTACCTTCCCTTGATACAACAAGCTATATAGCACATAATGGCAGGTAATTTGCTTTTATTTTATCTGTGCATAAGCATGCTTCTGCCCTCTAATGGAGAGAGCATGTTAGGTGCATTTGAAGACACAGAGAGTGCTCTCCTCTGGGCAGCAGGGACTGGAACATTTCCTTCACTGTTAGTACTGCAAGACGAACCAATATTTTGGAAGCCAGAGCCCATTGGTTGTAATACCTGTATGCAATGTTCTTGTGCTCTATACAGCTAAGCTACTACAGCGCGCCTCCAAGACGGCACAAGTCTGCATGGCAAATGGAATATGAATGCGTGGGTTTATCACCTGGAAGGCAGAGGAGCTGCTAGGTGTGCCTTTCATCTTACCATGGCCTCTCAATGTTCATGTCGACTCCTCCATCCTGGTGATCTCAAGAAGTTCTTCATCAAATGCACGTTACCTGCTCCGAGCATGGATTTTCTACAGGCAAGGAGCGTTACCTTGGGAAGCAGCCCTCTCGGCCTCCAGCCCCCAGCTCCAGTGAGGTTCCCTTCCACTGAACTGTCTGCAGGGCAGGATGAGTCCTAAGACAGCTTGGACACCTCCAGCCATCAGCCCATCTTCTCGCTGGTTACAAACCCAGTGGGCAGCAGGCTCTAATGGACCGTGAAGGCCCTGTGCCAGGGTAGGAGAGGGCAAACAAATGGCACAGCACTGCCTTTCTCAAAGAGGAGGTTGGCCCATGGTCAAGGTGGGCCTTGGAGAAGGCGATGAGCTACTGACCGAAACGTGGCTGGGCTTGTCCCCCTGAGAGCAGCCACTGACAACCACCAGCCCTTCTGCCAGAGCTCCCACCTCCTCTGCGAGCAGCGGGCTCCGGATGCAAGAGGACATCTCGCTGGGTGTGCCAGCCGTGGTGTGCCTGCAGCGCAGGATGGCCACCACCTCTGCTACCGACCCCGGTCCTCCTCACCGCACGACGGAAGGAATACCTGACCACCCAGGGCTCCGGGACTAGAAATTCCCAAAGCACTTTTTGAGATGAAATCATTTTAAAAGAATGCAGCTCTCACTACTCATGAAGTCGGTTCTGTCATCGCTCCACCAACTGCACAGTCTGCTGCACTAATTACAGTGCATAATGCAATTGATATGATTCTCAGAGAAGAGAGCTATTTCTGCGACGTTGCAGTAAAAAAGCCTTACAGCAAGAACTAGCACTTGGGCCGGCATCTATCTAAGAAGATACCAATAATTTGGAGCAGGATTTTGGTTTCGTTGGATCATTGGCAAAGAAAAGACTCTCCATGCCCACCATAGCAACTGAGAGAACTATTAACTAACAACCGCACGTGGATTTTTAAGTATGAAGACCATCCTGTTTCAACCAGGTTGCTCACAGAAGAGATGAACGTGGACCAAGCTACCGCTGCGCAGCCTCGCGGTCCTGCTCCGTGCATCTTTCCTCAAGAAGAGCAAACGGAGGTTTCAGGACCCTGCCTGAGCTGGCCCTCCCCAGCACCTACAGACCACGGGGCTACGATGCGCACATAGGGTTCATCTCCCTTCCATCAAATACGGGTGTTTATTTTCAAGATACTGCTTGAGTATCACCTCTCTGAGCCTATGTGACTGCAGGACCTGAGTCCTGCCTCGCTGGAGAAGTCAGTGCACGAGAGCAAACGGACTAGTCTGAGGTCTCTGGCATTTTGGAAAATCATTTTCTTGTAGGATCCAATTTCCTTTCTGTTTCTCATGGAAAGAGCAGAGGTGGTGAGAGGCTTTGGGGAAATGTTGGCTGCTGCCTGCTTTCAGTTCTGCCTGCAGAAAGCAAATGTCATCTGGACCTTTTTTTTTTTTTTTCCTTCTTCTTATTCTGGAGAGCTTTGCGAGGGGCTGTTCCTGTTGGGTGCATAGTGGGAAACAAAACAGAGAAAAAAACGCTAAGAACCAAAAATACCAGAAGCAGGAAACAAAGAAGTGGCTAAAATTAGAGTCTTCCAAGGTGGGTACAGACTTTTCCCCAACAGAAGCAGCAGAGGGAACTCCATGAGTCCGTAGCCCAACAACGTCCCAAGGCTTTCGCCTTCCCTGCCGGTCCATCCGTGCCCCTTGGAAGCAGCGGCCGTGACTGCAACCCAGCAAGGAGGCAAAGCGGCCCTGGACAGAGCAGGGGGTGGGAGGACATTCTGTCGTGGCCCTGCCGGCTGTGGGGGCACCTGCGCCTTCAACTCCTGTCCGCCCCTTTGCCAATCCCACTCTTCCAGCAAACAAGTAGACTTAGGGATGAATTTAGAAGCTAAATCCTCCTCCCTGCTCCCCGTGCCTGCTACACACACCGCCTGTCCCATTCCGGTGTTTTGTTTGCTGCCCGAACATGCGAAAAAAGCAGCAACTCTTGTTTCCAGCCTTCTGTCTCCTTTCCCGTTGCTGTAGCTAAAAAATCTCTTTTCTCATCCCTTCTCATAACCTGTCTCTTTTCAATCCCCCTTCCCTGCAATCTGCCCGCCCAGACTGCCTCTGGCACTTTCTTTACAGGGCTCAAGTCCTCAAGGCATTTTCAGGTCTGAGGAGTTATTCTCAGCAGGGTTTCCAGACAGCTTCTGCTGCTTTGTTCTTCTGGCTGAGAGGACATCAGTTCCACTTCAAAAAT